TATATTTCAATATTTGATCAGTAACTTCATATTTCACAAGTAGATGAGTCAATTAAGAAGTTTCTTGATCACTGATGTAGTTATCAATCTTTCAGTCAAAGAGTCAGTAAATAACTATATCACATACATATCGTCAGTTGTGGATGAACTTACAAAATATCTATATGTGATTCCGATATATTGCAGTATTTGAGCAAGAACTGTGTAATTGGTCGAGAGGCCTAATACGACGTAAATATCTCGTTCCGCGAGATACTGGAGCGGTTAAAGACTGCCTTTGAAAGCCTCACGTCTACAGTAATCCATGGGTGTATTGCAGGATCCAAAAGACGACTCACCGAGTTGCGGGATTACATTGGTCTCCAGGGCGCTGCAGATGAAGAAGACGTGACGGAATGCAGCAATCGCTACCAGACACCAGACATGCATCATACGACGATGACCACACCTGCGACCAGCGACTAAGCAGCAGCAAATCGTCCAGCGGCGACAAGGAGGACGACTGTAAGGAGCAAACGTTTAAGTTGTAGGAGAAAAAGTTTAAGCTGTACGGTCCTGACTGTTGGCAATACTACTGGTGCAAGTAGGGCAACGAGTAGTACCTGTACTCTAAGCGGCAAAATGAGGTGACTCTGTTTTGGTTTCTGGTGCATTCTCATCGATGGGAATTGTCGACCTGCGTGTTCTTGAAGGCAAGCAGGAGAGTACATAACAACGTAATCCGACTTCTTGCTGCCCTTTCATCATGCAAACTATGGTAATGACTTCATTGTACAACATGACAATTCAAACACCCACTCCAGCCACGAAACAAAAGTGTGGATTTTGGACTAAATATTGCGTTGATGAAGTGGCCAGCGCAGTCGCCAGGCATAAATCCCATCGAGAACTTTGGGCCATGCTTGCGCGGCAAGTTTATGCCCGTTGTCGCTAATTTTAGTCTCGTGAAAGCCTAGAAAAACCTAAAGGCATGGGACGAAATTTGTCATCATACACTCAACCATCTTGTTGATTGCATGCCTAAGCGCTGCGTTGCAGACCTTTCGACTCGTGGAATAAAGGTTAATTACTGAATTGGTTGTTATTCCTTGTTTGTATTGGCTGTTTCTATCTCTATATTGCTCTATTTGTAGTAATTTCATTTTTATGACATTCCTTGCTCACAACTCATCGTGGCATCCAAAATTAAAGAATATATCATGAGAACTAGGGCCACACTCATCCTTCGTTCTAGCGTTTATGCTTCATTGTGCATTGTGATAGGCATTGGTGGGCGAAATGTGATTGTTCCTATCTTTGTTTCGCGCACTGTATCTCTGACGTGGGTAGATCTATAATTCAAATTCATGCTGCCCAATTATTTAATCATTTCAAATTGAAATTCATGCTGCCCAATCACAGAGCACAATGCAAAAACTATTCTATTGGTCGCATTGTCTACATATCAAATGATGCAGGATATATTTCATCATATCAAAATATAGAAGTGTCCGATTTTTGTATGTGGGTTCTCTGTTGCTAGAGTGCACCAACTCACCATACATAGACTCTAACAATTTGTTCTCATAGCAGAGATATATGGTACCAAAGTGTACCTCCCGGTGTGATGCGTGAGCACGAGGTTGTAATTGTATTAGTTGAGATGCAGGTTAAACAACGTGCAAGGAGAGTCACCACTCATCGACATTTGCTCTCTGCGCTGGCATTCAAATCAAGAAACCAAGCTCTCGTCGCGAGACACGATGACAAATCTAAAAATGACTGCATTCAATGCCGGCCGTGGGGCAAACCTCTACACTACTTCGGATTCACTCTGTCTCACACACATTCCTGCAAGTGAGACCAGAACCGAAGTTAGACCAAGAACACTCCCCCCTACAAAGGGTGGCCGCACGAACGCTCAATGTCCTCTATCGTTTTGCGCACATCATCGTCATCATGAGCCGTCACCAGCGCCGAAATATCATTGGCGTCTTCGTGCACTGACAACTCTGGTTCTCAGGTAGATTCCGCGTCTTCCAGTCCGAGCCACTTGGCTTACACCTACCAGGTGCCGTCGTGGATACGCAATTTTTTCGAGCTGCTCAGAATAACCCGTCGTTCCTAAACGCGATCTGTGCCGTCTGATCTTCGCCCACGTCACGGCCGCCTTCGCAATACATCCGTAGGCAGCAGGCATGGTGCAACGACGTCATGGCTGGTGGGATGAGCCGTTGGATTTCCATAAGATGGTCGGAAATCACCTTGACAACAAGATACGGTCCGTCCAGCGAAGTGTCAATTTTCCTGGATGCAGCGTCGCCCCTGCCACCAATACAAAATCACCGAGCGCGAACTTCGCAATTTGGTGGATCGTTGTCTGTTACGGTGCTTGTGCGCCTTCGCGTTTCGACGATGCTATTTCCGCGATTCGTTTGTGCATCAAGATGAGCACCTCTGCTAAGTTGTCCACAAACTGTACTATTCCATCAGCGCTTCGGCCATCGCCGTGGCGCTTGCATGCAAACGGATAAATCCGCTCATGTCGTCTTGATCACCAAGACTAATTTGTCGCCAGAGACGGAGCGAGGGAGTGTAAGCCAATCGAAGTGGATCAGTTCGTTTGAGGCTGTTGCTTGCAGTGCCTCTCCCCATGGTCGTGGCACAACGCCGCCGTCGACTACCATACAGTGCAAAAGTCGTGAACTAATTCCGCAACGTCACATGCCAAACTTGTCCATTCGAACATGGATGCTACGGATGCAAGTGTCGCCTCAATGCGACGGTGACCCGCGATGCCGGCGCGGGCAATAACGCATAGGGACACTGCAGGTCCAACGCATCGTCTTGAATCCAAATGTTGGACGACGTCGTCACGAAACATTGCTTGACTTCGTCCCAGGTCGTCCAGTCTGCACGGTCGGGGTGAGCACGCTGAACTTGCAGGATTTTGTCAACACAGGACCATGAGAAATCCGTCGATTGCAAAGATGACACCAGCGCCAACTTGGAAATTCGTGCTGATAGCTCATGAAGGCGTGGGCTTCACCATTGGCTGAGAAGATCTGCCCACAAATTCTCGTCTCCAGACACACACTCAATCACATACGGAAACGTCGTCATCGTGAGAGCTCAACGTTGCAGTTTGTGGGACAGGTACTTAGCCATACCCGTGCTCGATGTTAGCGGGTTGAACATGTACACAATGTTGCGGTGGTCAGTAAACAGTGAACCTCCCGGGCGTATCAGGAGGTACTCCAGACGTTTACAGGACTCGACCACCGCAACCGCTTCGTTTTCCACGATCAGCCAGCGCTCGGTAACGCCTTGGAAGGCTCCGCTCAAAAACGCAAAGGCTCGTGACGCTGCTCTGGTGCAGACAGTGCCAAACCCTCGATCAGTACTTGCTTAGTGGTTGCCCCCAAAACGTCTCGCTTGCGTCAGTGTATAGGCACACCATCTTCTCGGGATCAGGGTGGTTCAACGGAACCAAACGACGCTGCGTCAACTTTACTTGGTCGAAACACTCTAGGTGATCGCCGCACCATCCCACGGAACTGAGAAGTACCCGCGCGAGCGCCGTTGTTTTCGTGAATAGGCGGTTTTTGCAGCAATGTCCAGATTATTCGCCAGAGGAGCTACCAGGTCGGTGTACATTGTGATGTTCGCACGAATCCAGTTTGTTGCATACAGGAATTGATGTAATTCAGCTATCGTCTGCGGTGGCATGAGATCACAAAGGTTTTGGGCCCGGTCAGGAGCATGTGCGACGCCGCACTCGGCAATTTCTTTTCCACACCAGATAGTTTTTGTCGTGTCGGGGTCGCGACCAAATTTGACACAAAAGCAAATCCTCGAATTCCAAAACAACATTGCTTGAAGTTCGCTCAAATTCTCGGGCGCCATACATTCCGTGATAGCAGCATCGACCTTGCACGCTAGGAGGAGCGATTTTCTGTCGCGCGTTGTTGAGCAAAGCTTGGTCGGTTTATCCAAGTATCTTCATAACGAGCAAACCCAGCGCCAGCTCGACTGCTGGAACCGTCTCGTCGGACCATGCGCGCAGCAACAGCGGACCATATGCAGTTTGATACTCTACGCCTCCCAGGCAAACTTGTTTGGTCACCTTGATGGGACGACTGTCCTTTCCATTGGGCTGCAGGTAGATTTATCCCATCTCGAACACTTCCTACGATGTACCAACATCTTGCAGCGCCGACACAAGCCCGCCAGACGCCACCGTCAGAACTGCTCCGGAGTCTAGCAGTGATGTACTCACTGGCACGGTGCCGTCCACCACAGTAAGCACACTTTCCCTACCACATGTAACGATCGCGCTGCAAATCGTCGCGACACGACTATCCTGGGGCTTTCGTCCCTATGAGGTGTCCCCGCGCCGTTGCTCCAGATTTTCGGCATGGCTCTTCAGCAGAGCTACTGCTTCGTCCTTGGTCACGGCAAGACAGTTCCCACCCTATGGTCAGGTGACTTTCACTTCAGGCAATCACCTTTGGGGTACAGCTCGGCTGAGTCGGACGGCGTCGAGCTTGAGCTCACCGATTGCCGCCTCGACAGGAGTTTACCCAGCCTTGAATCTCCTTTGCCGCTTTGCGTCGGCTTTGGCGCGTCGGGAGTGACGCTCGGCTTCGATTCATCTTCGTAACCGACGTAACGATGGTGACCGATTGCACACTCGTGCAGCCATCGCACAAAGATACACATCCTTTTCAACGCTTTGAACCGTGCCAACAGCATCTACTCCATCACCGCGGGTCCAGCAGGTACGTCAACATGGACCATATGGTTCATTCGTTTTCCAACACATCCCTGGGTCCTTGCCCATGTTCCATTCAGCGATACTTACGTTGCTTTGTCGCAGGCTGGATGCATTTGTTTGGCTGAGTAAATGGTATATGCCGCTATGAACGTACGTCTCTCCTCCTTTGTAGAACCCGTAAACAATGGGCTCTTTGACAGGGCAGGCGCGTTTTGCAGAAAACGGTCAGCTTGACCCATATCGTCGTCTTCTTTTGACGCAACCGGGTCATCGGGCACTCTGCGTGTCTCGTGGAACGGCTGCATTGGAAATGACCATTCTTCGTCAACCGCGACAAGTTGACGCCGTCCATTGGGGAAGCGTTCCATTCTTCCTCTCGCTCGGGTCCAGCTTCGATCGTCGATTTCGGCTTCATTTACAGTAACGTCCGGACTGGCTGACCGGTTCGAACGAGAGCGCGCGCGCGTTTATCCCGCTTCGTCGCCGTCGCTCCCCGGCAGCTGTTGAAATACAACCCCAATCGTGGGGAACTCCATCCTTCTTGTTTGCTAGTTTGTCCAAAGACAGCTAAAGGGTTCATTGTTGTCTGCTCCGGCACACAAAGCCGGTTACCGTGCCCTTATCGGTAGACTCGATGACAAATCCAAAAATGACAGCATTCAATGTGAGCCGTGGGGCAATCCCCTACCGTGTAATTTAAGTCGTTTGTGTGGTGGGTGATATTTCACAACCACACTACAGAGGAGCTCAGTCGTTTGAGACATACAAATTACATATTACAGCGCTTCACACAGAGAGCTGCGAAAACATACAAATTGAAGGAGTATTAGAATT